AAAAACTTTCGTCTATGTGTCTGTATTCGATTTGTATATAATGTAGAAATCCATTGTTTCTCATGTTATCCCAGCAATATTGCAACAACTGTAAAAAATGGCCATTGTTGCTCTAGCGCAAATGTTTTGTTCGCGCAAGCTGAACGCTTGTGAAAAAATTATCCATGGTAACGTTTCTTCCGTTCCCCAAATTGGTTCACACAAAAGAGGTACAAGTGACATATTTGACGTATTAGCAAAATATTTTCCTGCTGGCTGTCTACCAACATATACTTCCATTTTGGACGTATAATACATCTCAGCGTCTGCTAAAGCATATATTTTTATACCGTAGAAGATTGTAATACTTCGGTAGATTAGAATTAAAAGCTTAAAAAATCTCACGTATCGCTGCTAACTTGTTGAAGTCTTGCCTTTGTATTCTAATACTTTTTTCATCGAACCGAATGTGTCTTAAAATGAACTGGAACCTCTTTAGCGACATCGTCAGGCGATAAATCTCCATTGACCTTCCATCTAGTTCTAGCTGTTGTCTTCGCTGTATGTGGTAACCATGTTTTCTAATTTAAGTATTTGATGTGAATTATACATATGTATAAGGGTTAGACCCAAGATCTGTGGCCTAGAGAGCCCGATCTTTGTTTTTTAACATGCTGTTTGTCCACAATTTTCCTTCTATAAAGTATTTATTGCCTAATTGACAATAGCTCTGATGATGACATTTATTATGTCGAAAGTATACTCAGCTTAATTAATAAATTATTTTACACACTATCAATTTTATTGAAAACATACAAAACCTGCTTACCAGTTAGACCTATTTAGAAGTGTGTACAAGTCTTACAGTCTTTTTCAATTAAATAAAAAATTGGTTATCATTTTTTATAACCAATTTTTCTTTATGGGTAAACGTGTTGCACTTCGCCAATGCTACGCTCCTGATCTTATGTTTCCAATTGAATCTTTGATTACGATGATTAAGTGCTGTCCGTTCAAGAGTTAGTTTATTGCTATTAAAAACACACGGAATAACATAAGTTGCGTCATTAGTTCAAAAAGTAAACACATGGTTTTTTTGCAACTAAGTATGTAATTTCCATTAAATTGTGTAATCGCTTATTTTAGGCTTTAGATATATCAACAGGCGTATCTAATTGGGATTATTTATTTTAATATTGGAATTGAGGAATAAGAGTTTTACAAATCGTCAAAGATCTCTAAATCAGGTAAGTGGTTAGCCATTATCTAAAAATAACATGGAATGATAACGTTATACATTTAATAGTGTTTGTAAAATAACGTTATCATTTTGATAAAGTGAGATGAATAATTGTAAAAAAGTAATAACGAAATAAAATTAGGTTTGTTAATGAATTTGCTGCAAAGCGAATTTAAAAACATTAGAAAAACACTAATTAAAAAAAATCAGTTTTGATAAATTACAAATAAATTAAAATAGTAACCAATAAAAACTACAAATAACCCTTAATTTCATGAATGTCATCTTCAAGAAAAAGTTGGTTGATAGTTTAATTTGTGAATATAATGATAATGAAACGAACCAGCAGAGTAGTTAGGACTAACTTTATTTTGATCCAAAAGTAAATACAATTGACAGTTTACATTATACCAACCTTAACTTAATGTAAATGACTTATACAGATATACAAATTCGTTCACTGTTTCGATGACGTCGTTTTCTATAACGAGTGGGTGTAGGATTTGTGGTTGTGTGCTTATTTTCATATACTTCGTTTTATTGGCATTTATTATTAAACCCATTTTTGTAGCTGATTTATTTAATGCTACATAAGCCTGTATTGAACATTTCTCTTATATTCACAGATCCATAGGTAGCTTTGTAATCTATAAGTATGTGATGAGTATCAATGCCACATTCCAGTGTTTTTTCCAAAATTTGTTTCAGGGTTGCAATCTGATGAATTGTAGATTTACCACCTCTAAAACCAGCCTGGTATCCATGGTATCCAAACCAGCATGGTACCATCCGTTTTGCATGTGATGCCATACGGAGACAGTACAGTAGTACTGTGAAAAATATTTTATACGCTGCATTTAGAAGCGTAATTCATCTGCGGTTAGAGTATTCAAAAATATCTCCTTTTTTGTGTATGGTGCAAAGTATTCCAATATTACAATCATTGGGGAGGGAGTTCTGTGTCCATATTTATTTTATAAACTCTGTAATGTCATAATGGTATCACGGCCACCTCCCTTATTTAGTTCTGCTGGGAGATTATTTATTTCGGGTGATTTTTTTCTGGCTAGTTTTTAACTGCATCTTTAACTTTAAAAATCGTTGGTGGTTCCTCTTCTCTCTCGTCTGCTTCCCTCACCTCATCTCTTTCATCTTCCAGGTTTCTTCTTCTTTTTCCACATTAAGTGCCTGGTTAAAGTATTCCACCCATCTACTCAATACATCTTTCCTTATTGTTAATGGGTCGCCATTTTGACTTCTGCATTGTCTGCCTTGAATTCTTGTCTGTTGATGTTAACTATCTAATGGAATGCTCTGAATTCTTTCTCTCTGTTAAGGTTTTCTATATATTTTAGTTCCGTATTTAGGTGGTTTCGTTTATTTATTTTGTGTATCCTATTTTGTTCTCTTCTCTTTGTATGGTAATTCCTCTATAGTTGTTCTAGTTCGTCAGGTAAGCGTCTTTGTGTAGGCTTCATTTTTTTTATTCTTGCATTCATCGTCAAACCAATAATTTTGGGCGTCCGGTGGGAGACAGACTACTCCCCATGGATCATATATATTATCTGTACTTTTATTTATATATTTTTTATATGGTCTACCAAATTCAGCAATACTTATATTAGAATATGTACCTTATTGATAGTATTTTCGATTCAGTTTTATTATTTCAACCTAACTATTTTCTAGATAGATCGCATTGTATCATTGATGCGTTTTTCCATTCATTTTGTTTTTTCTCTTCTAATGTTTTGATGCAAATAATTGCACTTAATATTTTATCTAATTTATTATTGATTTTATCTGGATAAAGCTAGATAAAACTTTTAATCGGTATTTATATACCTTGGTTGTTAGATATATCCACCAAATATAATTTATATAAAAAAAATAGAGGTGTAACCACACAATTATTGTAAGTAAAAATACTATATATTGGCATAATTTCTGTTTCTTCTAAGATTATTGTCTAATAGTTATAACTTTGATTATTATCTTATATATATATATATATATATATATATATATATATATATATATATATATATATATATATATATATAAAACTGTTTTGGATGGGTTGGAGTCAATAAAAGGGGCTATTTGTTGACTATTTTTTACTCGAGCTTTCAATTGTGATTACAATTTTTATCAAGAGCTTCTAAAAAATACAAAATATCTTACAAAGTTGAACTAGAAATAAAAAATTTTGTTGTTAACTCACCAAATAAAATTAGTTTTTTATATAAAACTGCTGCTAACATATTAATTACAAAAAATATTATTAAAAAAATGTCCTATGCTAATAAATGTTTCTCTGAAATAAATTTTAATAAAGTTTCTTAACAAAAGCAATTGAATTTGTAAACAAAATTTGAATAGCTACAATTCAGCCTAAATGTCGTAAATACCAAATATATATATATAATATAAAATTAATGTTTCTTGGGTTTAGGTTCAATAAAGATATATTATATGTGGAACTAAATTTTATTTTCCATAACAATCAACGTTTCGGCAGGAAACCCTTGCCTTTGTCAAGATTCTAAAATGTATATGTATAAGGACAAACAGATATTTTAAAATATGTATATATATATTACTTACCAAAACGAAAAAAGGTGACACAGACATTAACGAACTGACAAATAAAAGTTGATATCTGATATCTCATGGTTTACTGTCATTAGTATATAATTATTTTTATATGGGCGTATCATTGATGTTTTCGAAAAAGGTAAAGTGGAGATATATTATGACTTTGAAAGCTTTTTATTTGCTTGAAATATATTTTATTAGGTTTTGTGTATCTTTTTTGTCATTTATTGCGTTGATATTTTTTTTATTTCTATTGATTCGTATATCTCCCTCTTCTTTTTATTTTGTTCTGTTTTTAAAATTTTTATGTTTTCAAAATCAAATTTATGCTTCTTCTCACTTTCATGTTTTGGGAGCGCAGTAACGTTGTTCTTGTCATATTTGTGAGAACGAATTCTGGATTGAAGCAGTTGACTTGTTTGACCTATATAGACACCTTCACAGTTAATACATGGTATCTCGTAATCAACATGTGATTTTTTAAGTTTTAGAGTTTGTGTTTTTAGTTTTATGAAATATTTATTGAAGAAGTTGTTTCCTTTGTGAGCCACTGTTATATTATGTTTGGCCAAAAGATTTGTTAGTTGTTCGGATAAACCTTTTATATATGGAAGACTTGTGAGAAGTAGTTTTGATACTGTTGGGTTTATTGTTAGTTGTATTGTTATAAAATTTATTGAGTCTTGATTTGAAAATAGTTTCGATTAGATGTTCGGTATATGCATTCTGTAGAAGAGCATTTTTTGCTTTTTTTATTGCAGTTGGTCTGTATTCTGAATCTGTTAGTTTTATAGATTTATCAGCGAGACATAATCACAGACTTCTTATGGGAAAATGGATGATGGGAATTGTAGTTGAGATATCGTGAAGACCATGTTTCTTTTGTAAACCACATGGTTTTAACTGTATTGTTAATGCGATGTAAGGTGATATCCAGAAAATTTATTTTATTATTTTGTTCAATTTCTATAGTGAAATTGGACCAGAGTTTATCTAGTAAATTGTCTGGCAGTATACCGATTTCCTACAAAGAACATAAGTCCCTACTCGAAAGTGTTTTTACATCTAAACTGTAGATATATTAAACGCCAACTCTTAGTTATGATTACGGTGACTCTCTTTATGAGTAACGTTCATGATATAAAAATATATTCATCTTATTTACATCTAACATTTGTTTTAGGAAAAAGTTCAAAATGTTTTGGATCCTTGGAGCAATACTATTCATTACTCTTATCTACTACTATATGATAAAACCTCTTTACCACTGGAGGGAACAGGGTGTTCTACAGAAAGACTTCTTCGAATCTTTCAACTTCGCATGGTTTAGTATGTTTTACCGAGTTTCGTTCGCAGAAAATATAATTAACATCTACAACAACTTTCCTGGATCTAGATATTTCGGTTTATATCAGTTTAATGTTCCTACTATGGTAATCAAAGATGTCGATTTGATCAAGCAAATGGTGATAAAGGACTTCGATCATTTCAATGAACATCGTGCTTTTGCTAGAGAAGATGTTGATCCCATGTGGGCCAAGAATCTATTTTCTTTAACAGGTGAGTTCTTCTATTGGTTTTTTTGCACTGCTAGGCTATAAAGACACACAAGTGTCATTATAGTCTAGTCGAAATCTGTACAAAAATAACTTAAGTCATCTAAATAATAATATAACTAAACAAACCGTTCAATTATTACTATAAAGATTCACTAACTATTATTATAACATATTGGTTATTTTTATATAATAATCACTTATAATTATAATTTCATTATTATCATCTATGACTACTGACAGCCTATGAAGGGCCATGGTCACCTGTTAGGCTTTCTAGGCTCTAAAGTTTTAGATTCTATAGAGGCAAGTGACATGCATAACTCCTTAAAAAGTGCAGAGTTTTATATCTAAAATCGTTATTTGCTAGTTTGTCTTTTTTGAGGAGATCATTTCAGTATCATGTATATCTTTTTTTAACTTCCGTTCAATGCAGGAGTGCATTGAGTCGGCCTCCATTTGTGTGTGACCGACTACTAAAAACTTTTGTTCAATTATTACATTGTTCGTAGATGCATTATGAAGAAGCGCATTGACTAGTGTACAGCAACGGTTTCAGTACGAACAGACGTCGCTGTACAAAACATTTTTTTTCCATTCCCTCAGGTAAGGGCAGGTTTGATAAAACAAAATCTGAAATTATTGTTGAAAACTCATTGAAAGTTAAACCGCCCTCTGTCTTATTCCAGATGAAATAGAATCCTTCCTTGGTGTTTATCTTACAAATTGTAAAGTTTTGGACAGACAACTTCATTTTATAGCAGAGAGAAGATACCGAAGATTTAGGGCAAATTAATAATGATTGTAAATTCATTGTGAATGTTACACAAGTTGAGTCTGCTTTATCTTTTTGTATCCTTGTTTTAAAAGACTCGCAAATATCGCAAGCATCTTTTTTGGGTTGATAAATAGAAAGATTTTGATTATCAAAAATCTGTAAAAACCTATATTGTGACAACGGAGTTAAATTTTGTTCTTTGCACCAATTGTCTTTATAAAACGTGTACACGCTTCTTTCTGATTGCCAGCCAGGCTCAAGATATAACTTCGATCTCCTCTTACGGCAATAATACGATTCAACTTTGGGTAACCTAACCAAAAATGTTTGAAGTGATTACACTTCTTTGGGTTTTCTAGGTTTTTTTAAATTAGGTTTGACAGAGTTCTTATCATCATTAAGTGTAATTTTATGATCATCTGTTGGATTATCTCGATTTCTACTTTCTGTTGCTGTTTACCAGTTTAGAGCAGTCCACTCACCGATAGCTAAGGTATTCAGGAACATTCTGTTTAAGAAAATATTTACGAGAGTTTTTCTTCTATTCTCTGTCTTTAATTTTCGGTCTCGAGCCCTAACAGTGTTAGATTTCTGAGTCAAAAACCTCAGAAATAGCTTTTTCTCTGGCCAATCCATTTTCTAAAACTCTCCAAAATTTTCTTTTCTGTCATCTTCTGTGAGTCTTAGACACTGGATTACACTAATTTCTTTTCTGCTACACTTGCATCTTTGTTTCATTACTCTAGCAGCTTTTTTATACTATATACATACGGTACATTTTTTGTTTTTCTTTCACCGCAATATTCCTTTCCTAATTTTCTGGCTGTTATATTTTTTCTAATGTTCCAAGTTTGCTAATTCACTTGGTGTCGTTTTTTGCGTTTAGTTTTACTGAATATTACATTTTAGTCGAATTCTGATCAAAGTCATTTTTAATTTTATGTTTACGTTCATTGGGCCTATACTCTTCACTGTTATCTGATTGCTCATCGCTAATAATATTATTAACAATGTCAATATTATTAATAATATCAATACAAGGTTCAGTTTGATTAGGTGTATTATATTCGTAATTCTCCAACTACTGAACTATTTTGTTACCAATACTTGGAGTTCTTCTTCTTCTTCCTATGCCGTCCCCATTAACGGAGGTTGGCGACCACATTTCTAAAAGTTTCTCTGTCTTTTGCAATGTAAAATAATTCGCCTACAGTCATGTTTGTCCAGTCTCGAATATTTCTCAGCCATGACTTCCTCTTTCTACCTATTCCCTTTTGGCCATCGACTCTACCTTGCATGATGACCTGCAGAAGACTATATATTTATCATTCTATTTCTATTCCATTTAGAGTTGAATCTTCCAATTTATGTAGGCCTTAGGCACATCGTTTGTTTAAAGAGATTCGGTAACTGTTACATTTTCAAGATTCAGCATTAAACTCATATCGTCTAAGGGCAAGGTGAATAAAAAACCATCATTGAAGTCAACAAACATTTCGCTTTCCCCTTCTTCGGGGGCTATCAGAGTGGAGCCATAATCTCTTTTGGTATGCAGGCTGGGCGATGCAGGCTGGCCGATGCCGGCTGGGTGGCTACGATCATCACGCAACTAAACCCGCCATCCGAAAAACGGCCTAATCCTGCTGGTCTGTTCCTCCCCGTTCCGATCCGGAAAGTAACAGACCAGCAGTGTATGGCCCCTTTTGGCCCAATGTTTGGCCAGATTTAATCATACGAGTGGGCTTACTCATAAACGCTCTATCGCGGGCTTAAGAAAAATTAGCCAGATAACAAAAAGTGGTATCACAAAATTTAAAATAGTAAATAGTGTAAATATAAAAATAAAGTAAAATGGGACATTCACAGACATCAAAAGACAAGACAAACATATTCACAGTCATACGGTAAAATCCTAACTAGACGAACGTAGATCCCACGAAAGGAAGAAGTCGATATGAAATACTCGAAAATAAAATTCTCATAAGTCATTTATGTTAGGACCTCATAAAATTACTATGAATATGGATACTATCCTGAATTGCTTTGTGATAAAATTGCGGACGTCGAACCGTGAAAGGTTTAAAATTCTGATGACACAAGAATTCAACTGACACGATGTTCCAGGAGCTCCCACGATTAAAGGTGCCATGCAAATCTGTTTCCCTGCATATCGGGTCTGCATGGTCTAAAGGAATCGAGGCTCTGCTTACAGCGCTGTTTTATTAGCAGCAGCTGTACTATTTACTAAATGCATGATCATGACTAAATCTGCACATGCAAATAACCAATTGACTATTGAATATATTGCAATTGAGAATGTTAATAACTATAAATATTTAGGAACATGGATAACATCAGATGTAGACCAAACCAAAGAAATTAAGACACGTATTGAAATAGCACGTACATCATTTATTAAACTTAAAAAGTTTCTTTGTTGTCGGGATATAAGGTTAGAACTACCCCTGAGAATGCTTCGATGTTACGTGTTCTCTACTCTTCTTTATGGTCTGGAAGCTTGGACACTAAAACAAGTTCATCTGAATAAGCTGGCCACCTTTGAATTTTGGTGTTACAGAAGAATCCTACGAATATCATGGATTCAAAGAATGTCAAACATGGAACTAACTAGAAGGATAGGAAATGAGGCGGAAATAATATTAACTATTAAAAGACGAAAACTTGAGTACTTGGGACATGTGATGAGAGGGCAGAAATACGCATTATTACAACTAATTATGCAGGGCAAAATCCGAGGAAAGCGAAATGTGGAAAGACGAAGAATATCCTGGCTTAAGAACTTAAGGGAATGGTTTGAATGCAGTAGTGCAGAACTTTCTAGAGCGGCAGTCAACAGAGTCCGCATAGCCATGATGATTTCCAACCTTCGATAGAAGATGGAACTTAAAGAAGAAAGAAGTACTAAGGGGTTCACGACCCTCCCAGCTGACGGCAACGTCCACAACAATTACCCGCTCATCCTGTTGCGCGACAAGGTCAGGTATCTTTAGAGTCTCGTCGGCGCACCTTATTCGCGGCTCAACCTCGCAAATCCACCCTTTCTCTTCAGCTGCTTTACGTAAATACGTAACGAGCTGGTCGTGTCTTTTAATTTGGTGCCAATATGATGCGGGGCACTTTTGCAAAATGTGACTAAGGCTCTCGTTACGTTCACATGCGAGATTATTAACACCATCAAAGAGCGCTAACTAGAATTTCTTGGCCATGTTATGAGGAATGAACAGAGATACGGCTTGTTGCAACTCATTCTTCAGGGCAAGGTATTTGGAAAGAGAGGACCAGGGAGAAGAAGAATATCTTGGCTTCAAAACCTGAGAAAGTGGTTTAATACATCGACAACCGGACCATTCAGAATAGCAGCAAGCAAAGCTAGGATAGCCATGTTGATCGCCAACATCCGGAACGGATAGGCACCGTAAGAAGAAGAAATAACATCACAATACAACAACAATAAAAGAACGATCAGCCTAGATACTTCTCATAGAATAACAACATGACAACTGGGAGTTAGAAGTTGTGTCAACATGAAAACGACAGGCTGGATTTAAGAGGTACGCTAATTCTTTAATATACCACGTCATTTCTTTTGAGTTTGCCATTAAAAAGTGGTTTCTACCAAAATACGGAGTTAAGAGGTCTGCTAATTAAGGTATCAATATGTGTACAAGGAGAATTTTTGAGAATTTTTAGTAGACTCAACACTGAACGACAATAAAATCATATACATGCATGCCCTAATTACATTGGATGTGACAGTAGACACAGCTACTTGTTAATACCTAATAAGAAATCGAAAAGCATATTTCTTATGGCAAAATTAAAAGCTTTTTCTTCTTCTTATAGTGCCGTGCACCTATAGTGCGTTGGCGAATTATCTTAAGGCTAGACGTCTGTCTTTTGCAGCATGCAAAAGATCGCCCGTGTTATTTATGCCTGTCCAGTTTTTTATGTTCCGTAGCCACGACATTTGTTTGCGATCTACTCCTGTCTTGCCTTCAATTTTTCCCTCGATGATTAGTTGAGGGATTGCGTATTTTTTTCCTCTCAGAATATGGCCGAGGTATACAATTTTTCGTACCTTGATCAAATTGAGTAGTTCAATAGTATTCAATAGTACAAAAATTAAGTAGTACAATAAAAGTTTGTTTACTTTATTTTTTCTAGGTAACAAATGGAGAAACATGCGATCTACTCTTAGTCCATCTTTCACCAGCAGCAAGATGAAAGGAATGTTTGTCTTAATGAAAGATAACGCTGAAAGATTTGTTAATTTTTTTCTCAATCAAAACAAAGAAATCATTCCGGTAGAAATGAAAGAAGTATCTACCAGATATAGTAACGATGTGATAGCTTCCGCAGCCTTTGGACTCGATGTTGATTCCCTCGCCAAGCCAAACAACGAGTTCTACATGAATGGAAAGAATCTCACCGCATTTGGTAGTATCAATACAGTTCTCAGATTTCTTTTTAACATGTTTGTACCAAATATAGCTAAGGTAAATATGGGGATACATTAAATACGATACAGCTTATTTCAAATCGAGTGGCGAGCCCTTCCACGAAATAGTTAATCGCGCGAACAATAGAATATCTATGATCAGACCCATGCAGTGGCGTTGCAATATTGAACAAATTAAATTATTTGAAATCCCACTAATGGACTTTGATTGTACATAGATTGTTTTATAAATACCAAACTTTTTGTTTGTTATAATACCAGCTTTAATAATTGATACTCTATAAAGTTTGGTAAAAGTTAATTTCTTATTTCTAATTTAGTATAGGTAATTCTAAAGTCATTGTTAAAGACTCCTTAACGACTCGTTAAGGACATACAAAGAACTGATAAGGATTATTTCCGAGAATTTCTAGTCACTGGATTTCAAACGAGTTCGTAATTTAATCTCATTATGTTGTCGAGTCTTAAAAAGAAAGGTGGTACCAAGCGTATTAGGACTATTTTATAGAATGGAGATGGTTAAGTGTACAGTGCACAATCGAACCAGTATTTAACAACGTGTGAGTGAAGCTACTGGAGTATTTTTATGTATAGTAGAAAGGACCATTCAACAAGCGAGTATGTTACCAAACGCAAAGTCAAATAATAGACTAAAATTTCCAGCTACAACTCTTGCTAAAAGGAAAGCAACCATGAGAGACTTGAGGTAATATGACAAACCGTTTATTAGAAATACCATTCATCGTTTTTATGAGACCGAACGTTGTCGTGTATCATTGAAGCTTTTGTAGAAAAGGCTTGAAGAGTTGTACAAGTTGATTTGAAGTGTGAGTTCTCTCTACAGAATTGTGAAAAATTTGGGATTTAAATGGAAGAAAACGAAAGATAATCGTTGTTTATTAATTTAATCTACGCATTAAATATTTGGACAAAATTAAATATTACAGAAGCGAAGGTAAGTCAATTGTATACGTTGATGAAACATATGTACATGCAGGACAACTACGCCAAATAGCTGACAGTGTCAAAGGATTGTTGAAAAACATTTCAAAAGGAAGTAGGTTGGTAATCGTACATGGTGGTAAGGAGAAGGGTTTTTATAAAGAACATCCTTTTAATTTTTAAGTCAGGAGCTAAGACAGGACATTATCATGATGAGAAAATTATGAAAAATGGATGAAAGAACAGTTAATTATCAATTTGTATTGGATCTGTTGCTACTGATAATGCGTCATATCATAATGTACTAATTAATAAAGCACCCACCAGTAATTCTAAAAAAATGGATACATCTAAGTTGACAGAAAAAAATTTACCATTTTTAATGACAATGTTAAAACCGCAATTGTATGAAATCATCAAACGACACAAAAAAGATCATATTCAATATAATTTTGACAAAGTGCTGCAAGAATGTGGACATGTTTTTTAAAACTTCCGCCATATCATCCAGACTTGAACCCTATAGAAATGGTTTGAGAGCAAATAAAAAATAAACTTGCAAAACATAACGTAGTTAGAAGACGTAAAAGTGTTGGTGGAACAAGAATTTGCTAGAGTAACTGTAAATAACTGGAATAAAGTGTATGGATATGTTGTCAAGGTTAAAGATAAATATTTGGAAAGTGAATGTCACATAGATGTAATTACGAAAGAATTAAGGAATAATTTAAATGATTCTAGCGGCGACAATAGTGCATCTCATTATAATAGTGAATAATATAATTTAACATTACGATATACCTATGTAATCTATGTGAATATAAGTTTTCCAAACTGTCCTGTATGTTTGTATTATTTTTTTACTTTATTACAATAATTTCGTATATTTTTCTATTTAACTTTGTGACGTTTAAGTGAGTAATAATAAAAATAATAAAGGTTTTAAAGTTAAAACAATCTTTGTAATTAATATTTATTAATACTGCATTCTGTAATACATATCTATGGTTTTACATACAGACAATATATGTATGTGATATATTATAATAATATGTATTAAAATATTGTACAATATTGCCAAAAATATAATCTAATATCATTGTTTATTAAATTGTGTGTACCTATCTTTAACAATTTGATTTAAATCATAAGTATTTTTTTTGGAACGCCACTGCTTTGTTTGATGAGGCTTTACCGTTCCTAGAAATTTCTGCCACCACAGATGAAACATACTCTATCGTATAATTTCTCGTTAACTAGTTTGGCATTAGGCAAATATTAGTCGTGAAAATCAATGTTTATTTCATATACATATTATGATTTGTAGCTTTTAAAAATGTTTTGGATCCTTGGAGCAATACTATTCATTACTCTTATCTACTACTATATGATAAAACCTCTTTACCACTGGAGGGAACAGGGTGTTCTACAGAAAGACTTCTTCGAATCTTTCAACTTCGCATGGTTTAGTATGTTTTACCGAGTTTCGTTCGCAGAAAATATAATTAACATCTACAACAACTTTCCTGGATCCAGATATTTCGGTATATATCAGTTTAATGTTCCTACTATGGTAATCAAAGATGTCGATTTGATCAAGCAAATGGTGATAAAGGACTTCGATCATTTCAATGAACATCGTGCTTTTGCTAGAGAAGATGTTGATCCCATGTGGGCCAAGAATCTATTTTCTTTAACAGGTGGTGAAAACTTGAATCAACGTGGCAACGTGGTGTTCCGGCCGACCATGCGGAGTCGGCTTTAACAAGTCGCCCTCTTAGCTAGCGACCATCGAACAAGCCAGTTCGAAATTATACAGTCCATTTCATTTCATTTTATTTAATGTTTCAAATGTTAATTTTATTATAGTTCAGTTAAATAAAAAGTGTATAACGTATGCAATTCATTTCTACATAAAGTTTGGTCCGTACGATCCAGATGGAAAGAAGATTACAATAATTTTGATGCAAAAACAAGTGAGTCCTATTTCATTATTCAATTTCCTAACCTCATAAATTTACAAAACGTGTTTCTTTACCTATCTAAAACCCTACCGGTAGCCGAAATTTATTGTTTAACCGGTTTTCCATACGGTTAAAATCTCAGTTCATATCAAGTATATTTATACAGCGTTGCCGATTAGTTTAACATATCCGATTTTAAAATATTTATGCAGGATTCAAAAAATTAATTATTATTTTCATTACGGACTAATAAGTAATTTAAAAACTTGGTTCTTTTCATTGTTTTATTAAAGCTTTTTTATTTAATGATTGCAAGTGTTTATTAAAAGCTTTACAATATATGTATGCACGTTCATTTTAACGTAAAAACAAGTTTTTTATTACTTTGAAAGTGTGAAATTTATGTTTTCATTTATGCATTTAATGTTAGAAATCTCACAGTAGATTTTATTTCAATTTATTTTACATAATGGCTGATCTTAAAAAACTAAGACGTAAACGAGGTTCGATTAAACAGCAATTGACATGTTTTATTTCATTTTTCAACAAAATTCAAAAACTATACGATGATAGTGAACATATAGAACAGACAATCATTTTTGATTTACAACAAAGATCTGCAAAATTAGGTTCATTATATGATGAGTTTAATGATTTACAAACCGACATTGAACAAGAATGTGATGATGATCAATTAGAAAATGAATATGCTGAACGAATTAACTTTACAAACGACCATGCAACTTACACAGCAAGTGCTTTATGTTTGGTATCCAAATTAAATGTTATAATTAGTTCTGAAACAAATAATACAACTCACAGCGAGTTATTTGAAAATAAAGTAGAATTTGTCAAGCTTCCTCCAGTCACAATTCCTTCCTTTAATGGAGAGTTTTGCAAATGGATAGAATTTAAAGAAACATTTGAGTTATTAGTTCATCAAAACTCTTCATTGAATGACATTCAAAAATTCCATTACTTACGAACTTCTTTAGGCACAGAAGTGCAACAAATTGTTAAGCATTTAGAATTTTCTAAACAAAATTATATTTTAGCATGGCAGGCTTTATGCAAACGGTTTGACAATCCTCATTTGCTTGTCAATAGTCATATTAAATCGTTATTTAATTTAAAATCAGTCACACAAGAAAGTGCTAGTGCTGTAAGAGAATTAGTAGATACAGTTAATCAACATTTGCTTGTTTTAAAGAATTTAAACTTGTCTTATGAAAATCCATTATCTAGTGCTATGTTGATTCATATTATTTCAGACAAATTAGACAAAGTTACTTTAAAAGAATGGGAGCAAAAATACGATAAAGATACTTTACCAGAAGTCAATGATTTATTTAAATTTCTAGATAACAAAGCAAATCAATTAGAAAAGCTTGAAGAGAGGGGAATAAATGTCAACTCTCAAGTTCAACAAAGTTCTCAACAGAGAAAACCATTTAAAAAACATGTATCTTTAGTGTCAAATAATCTTTCTAATGCAAAGAAAATATGTCATTTATGTCAAAGTGATCATCTTATTTACTATTGTCCTCAATTTTTACAATTAAGTGTTTCTCAAAGATGGACAAGGATTAAAGGTATGAAATTATGCACAAATTGCCTATGCAAGGGACATTTTAGTAAAGATTGCAGTCATGGGTCCTGTAAAGTTTGTAAAGGTAAACATAATACCCTGTTGCATCATTATCAGGATCAAGGAACTTATTCAATTAATCACATTACAAATTCAAATATGCGAGCAGCTCAAGCTCAGTCATTACAAGTAACAAATAATGGCACCAATTGTCATGAATCAAATAACGCGACAGAGCTAGCTGTGTCTAATTTCTCAAAAACCAATAATACATATGTTTTACTGTCTACTGCCATCATTAATATATGGGATGATAATGGTCAAGTTCATCAGGTAAGAACTGTTCTTGACAGTGGTAGCCAGACTTCATTTCTAACAGAAAAATTATGCAAAAAACTTAACCTAAAGCAAATAGATGCAAATCTTTCAATTGTGGGGATCAATCGTGTCACTTCCACCCTACGTTATAAATGCAATGTTTCTATTGGATCTACTTATGATTCAGATATCTTCAATTTAACATGTTTTGTCCTACCTAAAATT